CCCCCCTAAAGATCTACAGAGGTCTCAGAAATTGTCTATCAAACATGTAGGCCTACTAGTGAGAAGAGCAAGGGCTGGGCATGTCTTATTATAATTATGCAGAGAGTTTAAGTAACTGAAGTGCGTCTTGCAAAATTATTTGGACTAGGGACGAACTAAAACAAAAGCACGCGTATTGAGGAAGTCAGCAGACTCAATAGTACAGTGGTTCTCTAGCAAGCAGTAAATACCACAGTTGGTAAAAATACATTTCTACTCCCTATTCTTCAAATCATGTTGGGTTGTTTTTTTAAGTATCTTTCGTAAATGACGTCACGGCGACCCAAGATGTGGGCCCGTGGGGAGTGAAGACCCTGAGTGTGTGTACAAAATCAAGGACCAAGTTCTAAATGAAGAGCTAAAATGTATTTTTATCCCAAAGTTATTTTGTTTCATACCGGTAACTGCTTGCTTTTCTTTATCACCTACATCTGTAGGCCTAGATCTACCACAGCTTACTCGCCCAAAACTTGACAACACACTCTGTTTGAGTTGCGTTAACATGCTGAGTTTTGAATTATTAGTAGCCTTTTTAGTGGACAGTTTGGTGGAAAGGTTTGGAAGGAAGGGAGAGGGAGGTCATTTATTCTGTTCTTTGGTGCTCAGAAGCATAAATGTGTATATGTGTAACAGCATGTTTGTGTGGGAGCGGGGTGTTTGCGCGCGTGCGTTTGTGTGGAGAGGGGGGAGAGAGAGAGAGAGAGAGAGAGAGAGAGAGAGAGAGAGAGAGAGAGAGAGAGAGAGAGAGAGAGGGGGGGGTAAATGTGTGGATGCGAAAGTCTGAGTCTCTAAAGACGGAGAAATTTGAAATGCTAACATGAAACTCTGTCTAACACAACTGACCAACTGACAACAACAACAAAATACTGCTTCAGTAAGGCTTCTGCTGAATTATTTCTTTGGTGAAAGAGCTCAGTCTATATCCACAAAGCATTTTTATTGTGTACCTTTTCCAGTTAAACGTTGTAATTTGATGAAACATACTCAGCTGGTGTGATTAGTAGAACATAAACTGCTCCCTTTCCAACTACAGGACTATGAGAAATAAACAACTTTGAGCGCAAGGTGAATTCTGCAACAAAGTGAATGTCAGAAAGGGCAAAATGTATTGTGTGGTTGACATAAACAACAAAAATACAGGGCAGTTGTTCAAATAACATTGGGGTTGGTCACGAAGATAAACTGACAAAGAAAATAATGTGAAACTATTTTGACTTTAACAATAATTTTGTAGCGTAGACATTGCACTATACCACAGGGAAACGGCAGACTAATGTATGTACCATTGTGTTCTTCTTTTAGATACCCCTCAATATTACTTACCTTTTGTCAGTATTCAGAATGAGGTAGTGACAAATTTCTAACTCTCACTTCCGAGGAGAAGACTTGTTTTTGTCCGTAAAGGAAACAAAGATGAAGTCCTGCGAAGCAGAATGTTTACTTTATAGGCCAGTTGTCATGTAAACAATATGAGCACACAGCGTGTTCACAGATGTTATGATAGCAAGCATTGTAAACATTAAGTAAGACTGCTCTTGTGTAATGAACATCATCGTTACAGTCAGCAAAAGGTGGTGTTAATGATAATAATAATATTGTGGTAATTCACTTCTCGGCTTTTTGGCCAAGATCAAAGTGTAATAATCTGTTCCCGACTTTTCGGCCTTGCGCTTGAGTACAAAGCGGGACAGATACTAATGAAGCCAGTGAGGTTTTAATTAGCCTCAGATTATATCTAGTTGACGGAAACGCTTTCTTAAAAATAATAATATTTGTGGAGTCTACGAGGAAAAAACAGGCGATCACACAAAATACCAATCGTGTTGGTATCAATTTTAAAAGCTTTCAGACTCATAACTTTATTTCTGCTTGACTGGTGTTTTATTATTATGGCGAGTTGAATGGGAAATCAAATAAAAAGGATACCGGTAATTATATAAGCCAACAGTTGAACAGAAATTTGATTCTTGTGCTTTTAAAATCGATTTTGTCACGATTTCTGTTTGTGTCTTTGCCAGTTTTTACAGTAATTGTCTCCTCGTGGACAAAGACGATACAATATCATTGATGGATATAGAGAAAATCTATCTTTGCTTCGTGTGATATTGAAGAGTGATTTATATTGCTCACAATATAACACTTTTAAACATAAGTGGGCTATCCTGCAGTTTACTGCTGTCTTTATATTGGTATCAGGGGTCATCAGTGGGCCATGCCCTATCTCTTGACAAACTTTCGTTCCATTTTGTATATTGTTATAGTTTACTACAAACACAAATTCAATATAGACGTGGATTACAGTAACAGGCATGTTGTGTTCTCTAGAAGGAAACACAAAAGTTAACATATAATAATTTTGCACGTATTTTAAAATTCACCGTTTCCATTTGCACGTCTTTCTCTTTATTTCTGTGCATTCTCTGGGGGAAAACAGCTCTTAAAATGAAAAAGAATTGTAATCTGACTTATATTAGTGTTGCACTGCATTGTGTCGACATTATTGTTGATGAAAATGGAGAAAATAATCCCGTAGGTGACACAATACTATTTTCAGTTAGTTTACACATAAAAAGTATACTATTTTCTTGGAAGAAAAAGAAATAATAATCCATGTATAAGCGTGTTCAATCCAACAAACAGACAGACAGTCAGACGAGTTCTCACGACATCCTCCGTCTCCTCCCCCCTCAGAACGTCCACAGACGTGCCCGGTGTTACAACGTCCTAAGAGCAGCAACAGTGAACCGCCTCGTAGTGCAGGGTTTACAAAGGTGAGGAGAGAACGGAAGGGAAGGGAAGAGAAGAGAAAAGAAGAGAAGGGAAGAGAAGAGAAGACAAGGAAAAAAAAGAGAGCATAACACCATTGATATTGACCCTGTTCTCCCACATGATACCGAGAACATCGTGAACAAGGAAGACAAATTGTAGAAAAGGAGAGAAGGGAAGAGAAGAGGAAAGAAGAGAAGAGAAGAGAAAAGAAGAGAAGAGAAGAGAAGAGAAGAGAAGAGAAGAGAAGAGAAGAGAAGAGAAGAGAAGGAGAGGGAAGGGATGGGAAGGAAAGGGAAGGGAAGAGAGAAAAAAGAAGGGAAGAGAAGAAAAGAAAAGAAAAGAGAAGAGAAGAGAAGGAGAGGGAAGGGATGGGAAGGAAAGGGAAGGGAAGAGAGAAAAAAGAAGGGAAGAGAAGAAAAGAAAAGAAAAGAGAAGAGAAGAGAAGGAGAGGGAAGGGATGGGAAGGAAAGGGAAGGGAAGAGAGAAAAAAGAAGGGAAGAGAAGAGAAGAAAAGAGAAGGGAAGGGAAGAGAAGGGAAGGGAGGGGAAGGAAAGAGAAAAGAAAGGAAGGGAAGAAATGGGAAGGGAAGAGAAGAGAAAAGACGAGAAGGGATGAGAAGAGAAGAGAAGAAAAGAGAAGGAAAGGGAAGAGAAGGGAAGGGAGGGGAAAGAAAGAGAAAAGAAAGGAAGGGAAGAAATGGGAAGGGAAGAGAAAGGAAGAAAAGAGAAGAGAAGAGAAGAGAAGAGAAGGGAAGGGAAGGAAATGGAAAGGAAGGGAACAGAAGGGAAGGGAAAGGAAGGGAAGGAAATGGAAGAGAAGAGAAGAGAAGAAGATTTCATTTTGTTTTTAGTTTAGGTTTAGAAAGAGTTTTAAAGCGCTTGCAACACAGAGAGCCATGTAAATGTCGAAGATGAGAGCTGTTTCTGCATATTGTATAGAGTAACCTTTTTAAGTTATTATTCAAAGAAAAGAAAAAGAAGAGATGAGGTCGTCAGAAACTCTACATGAAACCAATGGCTCCTAAACAATACATTGGTTAGCACATAAATGTTAAGTCCAGTTTTGTGTGCTAGTTGTGACTACTCGATTGTCCAATCTGTATGAAACTATCATAATAAATTAATATTGTTTGTTGTAGAGACAAAATTCTCCATACATTATTGATATACAACACATGTCTATTCCATTAATGTTAATGTGCCTCAATACACGTGCAAACGCACTTTTAAATTTCTTTAATTTCACACAATTTGGCCTACTTTAATTTGTTAAGGTTAGTTTTCAGTGACCATAAATCTCGAGCGACTCTAATCGTTGATGAGATGTCAGATAATGCAAACTCTATCTAGCTTTACATTGTATGCTGCATGAGTGGGTTGTGTAGAGCTTTAACACAATGACTGGATGAATATATTTTCAATTTTTTATACGCTACTGTATATTGTATATATCTCTTTCTCTTCCCACCTCTCTCTCTCTCTCTCTCTCTCTCTCT